CCTTTTCCCGAAGCACAAAACAATTGAAAACAGGACTCCAATTTACGCCTGCCCTCCCGCATTCGTATCCCTGAGCTTGCCACAAGAGATCTCAGTTCCAACCTGGGACTCCACCCCCACTTTCCTAAAATCCTGGGCACACCCCCTTTCGCACTTCTAGGCCCACTCACACTCCGATCAGGAAGTCGCGCCGGGCGTGAGGTTAGGGCGTCACACCGGAGCTTCGATTAGTTGCAATTGTATGCCCTCTACCCCTTTTTGTCCACACAACCCTCCATTTCCCATTTTCACCTCCACTACCTGATCCCTCACTCCCTATTTGCGCCCAGCACCTTATAGAACAGCCCATACACCTCAGACACCATCCTCCTTTGCCCTCCCAGCACCTTATAGAACAGCCCATACACCTCAGACACCATCCTCCTTTGCCCTCCTTTTTCCAATTTTCGCACCTCGTGCTCACTTTACTATCTTCCAAACACCTAGTTCCTTCGACTCGCTACACTACCGAGATGCCTGTACACCCGGCACTCCCTCTGAAGCCCATGTCCCCTGTTCTCCTTCTTCCCCCCTTTTTTTAAGCTTTTCCTTTTGTCCCTGTCCTGGCCCCCTAACCCTCCCTCTTCCCCCCCACCCCCACCCCATCCACCTTAGTCGCCATACATAGGCCGTACCCACCCCCCTATCACTACCCCCCTACCTATGATACAGACTGACCTCGTAACTACCCCTCTACCACTTCACCCCTACCTATGCTACAAGGTGACCTGGATTCATCCACATCAAGACCATACTTCTGAAAGGAGTGGTCCCGACGCATGGTCCTTCGCGGCCAGGCTGGGATAGCCACCCCAAAACCTCCCCCCCCCCAAAAAAAAAAGAAAAAGAAATTAAATTCAGGAAACAAACACTCTGCCAGTTAAGCCGAGGGCCGAAAATTCACCGCATCTTTTTCACCGCATGGCAACAAGAAACGTAGAGGAGAACTTTGGAAACAAACAATGTGGGCTCAGAATACAAATAT